TCCCATTGTTTCTGATTTGAAAGTTTTCCATTGCTGCTTACTCTTAAATCCGATTGCATGTGCAAATCTAGCGTACACATTTTTAAATTGGAATTGCCATTATTCTACATTTTAGTCTTCAGATCGAATAAAACTAAATTGTATTAGTCAAGCTTAGAAAAAGCTGAAGATACTCTGAAGACAGGAAGTGCTTAAGTGTGTTAAAAGAACAAATTGAAATTTATCTTTTGCCTTTTAAGCAGGGACAGTGCTGAGTTTTCAAACATAGCTGGAATTTTGAAATTACTTTACTTGTAGCTGGCTGAATGCTGCAAACCTTATTCTGCAACTACTATTTTATCTTACTTGCTGCTGCAACAAGTCCAAAAGCTTTAGAGTAGTTTCTCTTTCCATGACAAACTGTTGTAAATTTTAGTTTTACTGTATGTGTATTTAGATTATCTACGTGTATGTAGTTTATATGGACTATTTCTGTAGGCAAGTTATCTAGTCGATGGATTTTAATTCCCTATGTCCCTGTTCTTGAATGAACTAAATTTTATGAAAAGTGTATTGTACCCCCACTGTTAATTTATTACTTTTAAATGTCTTTATTCTTGAATCAGGTAATCAGGTTTAATAGACTTTGTAAGTGCCTTCAAACAACCCCCTCCCCGTTCCACTCTTACAACAGTTTTGTAGTATTCCCTTCTGTGATGCTTGTCTACTTTTAGTAAGGTTCTCATGCTGTGGGCTTTTACTGAGTTCACAACACTGTTAGCTACTGTACCTAATTTATGTAACATGAATATAAATAGCAGCATACCAGTATCTAAAACTAGGGGCTTCCTCATTTATCTGGAATTGACTCCTATTACTGCCACTCAGTGATGTGACCTTGTTTAATCTGTCAAGAGCCCTTTTTCCTCTTCTGTTTCACTGATTTGGGAATGTCCAGGAATGATTACATTGTGATCTGGTTTGGGCTTTTTTCCCTCCTCCGAGCTGTAGGAATGACCAGACTTACTTCCCGTCTTATAGTTGCATAATAGTCTTACATCTCCATGTTTAGACACAATGGTAATTTTTTTTATGTATGCTCAGGTCTTCTGGGACCTTTGAATACATGATCTGCTTTTAAAAATTGAAGTAAATGAATTTTTCTTGTGTAAGTCATGTTTACTGAATTTTGACACCAGAAGTATTTTGATACTGTTTAATCCCAGTGGGTGCACGATTCCTTTTAAATATAGATGCTGGTTAAACATAGGCAAACTAGACTAAAAAAAATGTTAGAACCTAAGTAGAATAGCAATAGTGTATCATAAAAGCAAATTTTTTCCCCAAGACACTCTGCAGTGTTGCCAACATCAGGCATTAAAAACAATGGGATTTTTTTTTTGTTTTCACAATTTTTTTTTTAAACATCTTCTAGATACTTTTTAAAAAAGCTCATTATTCTGTATATTTGTGGGCATCTTTCAAAAAATGTGAGGTCCATGCAAGTCATATGACTCAAGGAGGTGGGACTTCAAGATAAACATCAAATTGAGAGGAAGAGCACAACCATGGCCTGGCAGGCAGTGGTAGCATTCAGCACAGAGGTGCTGATACATCTCATTCCATGGCTTATGCAAGGAAGGTGTGCTTTTAATTTGCAAAACAATACATCTGAATGTTAAAGGGTTTTACTATGACCTTTTTGAAAGTTGAATTTTGTTTTTAGAGGTGATCAAAAGGGTTCAATATGGCATCACTTCAGACTTCGTAATTGCTACTACAATTGAAACAGTTTAAAGAAACCTGGTTTTAACAGCCTGGCAGTACTAAAACCAGCAAGAAACTTACAGTTATTTCAGTGGCCTTTGTCTCTGGTTCTGGAACCACCTGAGATGGTACTTAGAAGTTTTGCGGTTCCCTCCGCTGTGAAATTCAGATTACTGCCATTGCCACATGGCAGCATCTCTGTGCAGTGAGACCTTACAGGGCTGCAGGGATTTGAGCTACCAGCCTTCAGGTGTTGGAAAGATGAATGTGACAATTTATCAGATCTGGTAATTGAAATTAGGCCAGTGTGTAGCTGCCAATGTAGTGGTTTTAACTTCATTATGAGTTTACAGTGACTTGACAAATGATTTTGTCCCTGTCCATATCAGAAAAGTACTTTCTTTTGTATCCCATTTGCTGGTAAAATCACATGCCAGCCACAGTTTTCACTATTTCTTCACACTGCAAAAACCAACACACTTTGTGTAGTTGAGATACAAATGAAAATAACCTTTTACTTGGAGGTGTGTGTAGAAGAGTCACATACTGGTTTTCTTCATATGTAAAAATCCGAATGCCCATCTGAAAAATTTTGATTCTGTGGTACTGTGCATCACAGAAGGAACAAAAAGGAAGAAGAAAAAAGGTAAACCTTCACAGGTGCTACCACCTTCTTCTACCATTACCTTTGGTTTGGAAGGAGGCTGTAGCTGAGTCAGATGATCTGGAATTACACAAATTTAACTTTAGACATGTTCTAAATCTTTGCCTTCTGTTCTCCCCAGGTGAATCCTCTAAGTTGTCCTTCTGCCTGATTTTCATTTGGTTCCTTGATTGAGTTGTTTCTTTAACTCCTGGCTACGTAGTGCTCAGTTTCTCAAGGAACCTGAAGAGCAAGAGCGTGGCATTCTCCAGCATTCTTCATTACAGTCCTTGGGTTCCAGTACTGCAGATAAATCAGTCAGCACCTGTCTGTTGTCCCTTCCCCAGGAGAGCTGCGCGGGTTGGGTGCGCTGCTGTCGAGGCTGAATAGCGCTCTGGGGACACGGACACCCCTTTCCCCAGAAGGGTCAGTTCAGGGCCATCTGAATAAGTGAAGCCCACAGACACTTTTGAGCCGGCTGTGGTGTGTGGGGTGTGGGGTGTAAGCACCTGCAGGGTCAGTCGCTCCCGGAGAGCTGGCAGGAGGGGATTTTCTCTGGGAGTTTGGTGTGTAAAACCTGAGCTTGTTATGAGCAGGTTCAGTCTCGCCCTGTGTCACTAACAGTTAATCCATCAGGAAACACGAACTTTTGTTTTATTTTTAACTAGGGATTTGGTTATCAAAGCTTTAAGGAGCAACTTACAAGGATAGAATAGTTTTATAGTTGTGTATATGTGGAATTCAAGCAGATCTGACAGATGAAGGAAAAGAAAGCTTACTCTGTTATACATCTTTTATTTGAAGGGAGTGGCTGAAGTTACTCTTTTCTTTCTTCTGAATGGTAAACGTGAATTGTTCCTAAGCAGTTATGCCACAATACAAGCTTACATTGGACTTCCTCTTCCATTGTCAAACAACCTTCATGTTATTTTAAGGCAAATATATTTACAGTAACAAAAGTGGATGAGTGTAAAGAAATTTTTTAATTTTCTAAATGACAGAAAAATAGGACTTTTTGTATTTTCTAAATGAAAATGTTTTTGAAGCATAAACTCTGTGTGATAAAAATAACCATTTTCTAAGTTCTGAAGTTCTAGTAGTCTGGGAAGTTGAAGCCACAAGTCCCATTCAAACCTCTCTTCTCTGGGTGTCAGCTCAATCTCTGCATCTTCCTAGGCAGAGGTCAATGGTTTGCCCTTCTGTCTGCAAAATATTGTAGTGGTTTGAGTTGTATCCTCTTTTTGCAGTATTTCTGAAGAGGAAACAAGAACATATTTAAATAAAAGCAAGATTCTAAGAGAAATGAATGTGAACCACCAAGAAATGCTTGGACCACAGAAAGAATGTATCTGGAAAGAACCTTTTTTTTCCAGAATATTTTACTGAGAGGCAGTAAAAAGACGAAAATGTAAATAATCAGATCCCAAAGGTGTTGTATGTAATGTTGAAAGGGATATGCAGTGTCTGAAAAGGTTGTGAAATTAGGTTTACTAATAAATATTCTGAATCATACGTTTTAGGGAAATAATAAGCATAATAACAATAGGTAACCTGTAATTTACAACAGTGTTCTTTTACCAGTAGAATATGTTGTAAATCTGTTCTTGTGATGAACAGCAGCACTTACTCAGACTAAAAATAATAACAGGACCGTGTATCTTGGATCCCAGGAGACTGTTGGTGTTTTTGTAGACAGCAGACAGGAGAAAAAGGCATTTTGTCCTTTTTACCCCAAGTAATCCCACTGGAAAATTAAACATGTGCTATGAATTGATATCAACTCGTGCCAGGTTACCTCCCTAAAGAGGACTGCTGCAAACACTGTTGCTCCATTTCTTGGACAGAGCTTTGATGGCCTGTGTGCAGGATGGATATTCTCTGCCGTACGCTACTGTGGAACAGTGTGCTACTGTCTGCCCCTCGCAGAGCCTGCTGAGGTGTGCCACAAATAACTGAGAGCAGCAACTGCTTTAACCCCACGGAGGATCTCCCATACCTGCAAATTAAAAATGTTGCTGAAGTATTTCTGTGTGCATGTGTGTCTGGGGAAACTGGGTTGGTTCTGTTTTTAAAGGTTTAATCCTGCAAAACAGAGAAGCTGCTCTTGTACTGCTGTGGATCCCTACTGAACATGGGATTGAAAAAAGTATGAAGCAATATATTAGCAAGAAATATTTAGAGAAACCACGAACCTTTTTTTAATGGACCACCCTATCCAGTTTCTGTTCTTTTAAGGAAGTTTTTCCTATTCATGACTCATTTCACTCTTTGGCTAACATCAAGGGAAATGGAATAACGATTAAGCAAAGGAATTTATGTTTTTTTCTGGGTTTGTCCTTTTTTCAAAACCTTTATGAATTTTCTACATAACCTTGTGTAAATATATATGGATGTACTGTGACAAGGTAAAAAGTACACTGCTAATACTTGTTTCTTAGTAATTGTTTTTAAATGTTCCTTTTGGTTCTACAAGTCAATGTTATGGTGGATACTCCAGACACCCTATTCAGTTAAAATGACATGCTCCAGGCAGCCAATTACACAGAACTGTTAAGTGAAATTAATGAGATCACCTCTAGATTACACTTTGTGTTTTATTTTCATTTTATAGGTCTGTATGAGCTGCTGGCTGCATTGCCAGCCCAGCTGCAGCCACATGTGGACAGCCAGGAAGACCTGACCTTCCTCTGGGATATGTTTGGTGAAAAAAGCCTTCATTCACTGGTGAAGGTAAACCACATTTAAGTCAGATTCTCTTTGAGAAGAGCATATGGAAAAATGTTTTGAGCGCCATCTAGTAAACCGGTGACCAAACTGTTGCTCAGTGAAAACAAAACAGCCTTGTTTTTAACTCTGTTTCTGTCGGGGTGGAAGTTGTTAAATAAGATTCTACCAAAAATACATAGATGATTTCATTTAAGAGTGATGTTTTGGCAGTGTAATGCTAATGCAGCAAACATATGTTGTTTGCCCTTGTTTAGAAAAAAAAAAGTACGAAATAGTAGCAGGAAATCTGAGACTTCTTTATGGTCAACATTCAAAACCTGGAGTTTAGCTTAAATAAATAAATGTTCACAGCAAAAATTAGAAGGAATATATTTTCTGAGGTCAAGTATGGCAAGAGTTCAGTAGCCACATTAATTTAAAATAATTTCCTTTAACAAAGTCAACTGAAATTCTAGTAAGCTGTTTCTTTTATTGGCTTGCCTCCATTTTATATTGTTTTGCACATAAATATGCTGGCCTAAAGTACAACATAAAATAAGTTTGGACAAATACTTGAGAAAGGGTTGTGCTACGAAAATGATCTGCAACGAGAAATCAAGGCATACCATGGGAGGACACAGAGCTACCCCAATAATGTTGAAATTGCTTATAGCAGAAAAATGGGACCAATAAGCTGGTTAGAAACATTCCACTCCTACAGAGTGGTAAGTATGTCTTCAGTCCCCAGTGCAGAGCTAATTCAAGCTGGAAGAAAATTCTGAGGTCTCAAATGAGCCAGTAGGTGGTAGTAACCTGTGCCATGAATATATCCAGTCTCACATATAATTGAGCAGAATTTGTTACCCTTGTCAATTACTGATCTAGAGGAAGCTTAAAATTGGGATTATTTCTAAGTAGATTTGAAAGAATCACCTTTTTCCATTTCTTTCAACTATTTTATTCTGGAAAAATATGTAATAATGTTGATACTTGGCCAAGTACTTGTTGATACTTTTCAAAATAGCTGAGAATTTACATATAAAAGTAAACACAAGTACTCTCTGGCAGTTGATACACAAAACCAACAAACAGTGGAACAGTGCTTGCTTGCCTAAAGAATGTCATCGAAGTTTCTGCAGTGCCGTGACTCCCAGACTCCCTGCTGCTTTGCTGCAGCTGTCCCTGCAGGTGACTCAGAAGATCTTTGTAAGACCAGTCGTCTCTCTAATAAAGCTGACAGTGGTGTGCATCTAAGCAAAATGTTAGGTCAGTTACTAAATTAGTTCTGGTTTGGGAATTAAAGAAGGCTACTAGAAAATGAGTGTGGATCTGTGAAACATCGACACTTCAATATTTGCTCTAATTTTCTGTTGAGGCAAAACCTAAACCTTTTCAAACTCCTTCACTTACTCCCTTTTGCCCTTTATTCCAAAAGACAACGATAGAACAGCAGTAACTGGTTTACTCACTTGGAGTAAGCTCTCAGTTTGGAGCAGTTGCCTGTCCTACTGGCTCTCCTGGTTGCATGCCCTAGTTACCATGTTGTTTGGTTTTGAAGAGTGGATTGGACTTTCTGACTTTAACAGAAAAGAAAAATGGGAAAGGGGATCAATGAATGGTCACTTTGTTGCAATTACAACAAGAAGACACTGAAATATTTCAACCATCTTTATTATTTATCTTCTACACTGTAGATCCAAGTATTAAACATATATGTAACTCTGTGGATGGTTCTTTCAATGTCCTGTTAAGCCTCACACTATCTTAAAATAGATTTAATTCTTGAAATCTTGAAACTGTGTCTTTAGTGTTCACTAGTTGCCCTTTTTTAATACAGCATATTAATTTAATTTGAAAGACAAAGTTTTTTAATTACAAGAATAAAGACTGTTAAGACCATCTGGTCTGACCCAAGTGTGTGTCACAGACTATCTAATCTCACATTCTCATTTTTGTGTAGTTCAGGTGTGTAAAGTAGGATGTGAAGAACTTTCAAAAGGTTATGTAGTTCATATAACTGCCTCAAGATGGTCTTAATTGTATGTGAAACTCATGGTATTTGTTTGACCTTTAATGCATTTTTAGAAGATTTATTCAGTATCCTATCAAGTTTCAGAGAAGGCAGTCCATAGCCTTTTTGGAAGAGAGCTGAAAAAGCAGAAGAATGAACCTCATCTGCCATAGTTTTTCCCTATTGCAAGACTGCAAAAGTGCTAAATCTTTCTTTCTGGGTTCTGGTGTCTTATTTGAAAGACTGTTTTTCCGAGCAGTAGCTTCTTAAAGTCAACTGTACTTGCAAAAGGCAAATGTTTTTAATTCCTCAGGCAGAGAATGATGACAGATATTTTGTAATTACAAAAAAAAAAAAAGAGAAAAAAAAAGGAAAAAATATGCACTGGCTTTGAGCCAAGGATGTTATGATCCTGGTATGGGTCATTTATGAAGAAAATGAGTATGGCTATACTACTAATTAGACATTAATATTTCTGTATTTTAACATACTGCTTAATAAAAATTTCTACACTGAAATTTTTAACCTACTGTTTAATAATTTCAGTTATAAAATGGATAAAATGCTCCAAATTGATTAAGAGGCTTAAGTATAAAATGAACTTTCTACTTTGTTTACAGATATACCAAGTTTTATGGGTATTTAATTATTATAGTGTTTTCTGTATGGTTGTATTCTATAGCACGTGGTTTGCTATTCTGGCTCTCTAATTATTGAAAAGATAGAAGAAAAAAAAAGCCCCAAACATTGCCTTGGAGTTCTCTTCATTCAGTATTGTTGGACAGAAATCTCTTTGAGAACTTGGATCAGCCTGAGCTGTTCTAAGAAGTCAGAAATGGAAAAGTTGTATTAGATCATCCAGTCCATTCCCCTGCAAATACTGGATTGTTCCCTACAGTACATTCCTATTGTAGTTAGTAAAACCAGCAAACACTGATGCAACTGTTCTTGCTGTTCCTTTTGTCAACAAAGGAATCTGTTTATTAGAATTTAGCTTGCAAAGTACAGAGAAGAGGGAAATCACAACTGTTGTTGACAGTTTGGAGGAGAAAACTGGTTCTGAAAAGTGTTTAAAATTTGTTTCTGCTTCCCTCAAATTGTTACTTCCTTGTCTTATTACATGACTCTCTCAAGTCCTACCAGAAATCTTCAACCATCTCATTACTTTTGATATAGCAGAGATCCCATTAATTCTGTAGAGATTTATGGAATAGAAACATGAAGAGAAAATCCTTCAGGGCAGTTATGAGCACTAACATAGCTGGTACCTGAAATAGTGCACATGTGCTCAGCCGGGATATTTTTTAGAAAGGATAAATAAAGATCTGTGTTAACTACTCTTTTAGATTATTTTTAGAGGAGCTGCAAGAATTTCCATGTGTGTTTGCTTGCTATTAGTGCACCAGACACATGTTTTACTGTTTGTCTGTTTAGTTCCAGGATGAAGCTTCTACTTGCCCTGCCACCTTAAACATTTCTGGTTGTGGATGTAATGCTCAGGAATTGAGTAAGCTTTTCTGTTGGGCAGCTACTGAAATATTTCATAACCAACTGCAGTTTACTGATTGTTTTTGGCCAACTCAGTACTGTACTTTTCATTATGAAAAAGAAGCAAGTGGTGTTGCACTTTCTCTTGAAAGGGAAGAGCTTGTACATTCAAAAAGCTGTATGTGACACTGAAAAAGAAAACTGTCGCCAAAGTAATGAATATTTGGTCAATCCAGTTTGATTTTATTACAACTGCATGGTATTTTGGTAGCTGGCCCTTCAAAACCTTAATTTGTGCTAATTTTCTCTTAGTTTCACCTGGATGTGACTTGACTTGAAGTTCTAGGAAAGTATTTTCTATGCTAGTGTTTGACCATGTCAGTTGCTAAAAACTTATCAAAAAATAAACCAGTTAAGTTTATCCTGCTGAAATTTCTTTGGCATGTAAATTGAATCATATGATTACATAGCCCAAATTTTACAGTCGTTGTAGCATAGAAGCAGTGGAAATTTTCGATGTGAATACTCAGATTTTTCAATATGCAAATGTAGATGCTTTCAGTGTACTGTGGTTCCCTTGTTGGCAATGAGAAAAATATAGTATTTATAAAAACTGAGTTGATTAGGGCAAAGCAAAAGGGATTGGTTTAACATATTCTTAGTGATAAAATCAACTACCTGCAGATGATGTACTAAATCTTCAGTCTGCAGTAGTACAAGCCTAGTTCAAAGGCAAGTTTGTATGTAGTTACAGTTTTTACCCAGGGCTTTACACACAAACTCCTTGAAAAAAACTGTTACTCTGTAGGATGAAGAGTTTTGCATCTACAATATGAATCAGAGAATCTCAGTTAGGTTTCATGGCTTGTTTCACATTAGAGAATAGACTAACTGATAACTGTCCAAACTTTCAGCTGGGAAGAGCTCTGCAGGTTATTTTGGTGTTCCTGAGAGCTCGTATGGTGCAGCTTCCCCTACCCTGGGATGTGTCAGAAGTTCTGTAACCAGCACCCAGGTGTGTGCTGGTTACATTCTCATGGGCATTCTCCTCCCATGTCGTGCATCCAGACAGTGAATGCTCCTGCCTGGGCACAAGCTCAAGCATCCACACATTTGAATCTTCTTCCCGTAAGAATGTAGAGGAAATGGGCTTCAGATTATATGAGTATGACAACTGATTTTTCTGAACTTATTGTTCTGTACTTTTGATGGGGATGACCCACAGATGGAAGGAATGACGTCTTTGAGTGTGTCAAACCTGGGAGGGTGACGGTGGCTGAGGAGAATGTATTAGGTAGTGTAAGACCTGAGCATGGCAAGTGATAAAGACTGAAGGTTGGAGATCATACTGAGGTGGAGCTGACTTTCAGCATGGAAGCCCAGTGATGTTAATGTTGACTGCTTCTGCGTTTCGAGTTTGAAGCTGATATTGAAATATTTTTTACTGGACATACAAAAGTTATTTACTTTCTTGTTACTTTGTTTTTCATGTATACTTTCTCTAGAAATAATATTTACACAATCT